AATGACCTATTTGAATACAAACTTACTTTGAACGATCCATTTGTCGCATGATCTCTATCGGGTAAAATTAACTGAGGTCTTTTGCTTCGAAGTGACTGATATACTTGAAGAGAACAATTGTTGATGCTAATTACTTATCTCATCGTATTGAATCATCTTACTGAATGTCAGAATTCAATCTGACGTGAATAACATAGTTGAACACACTCATACTGAAAATGATTCATATTCCGTGCACACATTAACAGATAGTATGCACTGATATTCTGATCTGAAATGAGCAAAGTGCTTGAATAACTTCCTATTTGGAGTTGTATACTTGGAATGTAGTGCTTGAACATTAGGGACTATGAGCTTTTTCAAGCAAGATAGAAGAATAATTGAATGAATTCATATTTAGAACGATTCACTATTCACTTGATTGTTCATCATCCGATCTACTATTACACTTCATTTCAGACTGAATAATGTGGTCGATCAGTACACTCAAAGTGGTTCAAGTGTAGTTATTTCATTTCTATGTGCTTCTTAATGTGCTTCAAAATGTTGGTCTTAGAGAACGGGACAACGAACTATTTGAATCGAATCACTGTTTCGCGAATTCATTATCTGAAACATCACCACTCATGTAAACCAAGTAAAATCTTGATTTCATTACGAGATTTATCTGAATAGAATCTTTCTTCAAATAATTCGTCAGATATGCAATATTCAATCATAAGTTTCACTGTTACTAGCTGCTTTATAATAACATAAATGAACTCAAGCTTGGTTAGGATTATTAACTCTCGTGCGGAGTTTAATCTTCTATTCTACTGACATGGGTTGCTTCAGAATAAAATAATTGAACAAGACTTTGGTTTGGGCGTTTCATTTGCCATGCGTTGTTCGATCTTTTATTCTACTGACATTGGTTACTTCACAGTAAAATAATTAATTGAACATGACTTTGCTTAGGATGATTCGTCTGTCATGAGTTCTTCGATCTTTTGTTCTACTGACATTGATCGCTTCAGAGTAAAATAATTGAACACGACTTTCGTTTGGATGATACATCTGCCATGAGCTCTTCGATCTTCCGTTCTATTGACATGGGTTGCTTCGGAGTAAAATAATTGAACACGACATTACTAAGGATAATTGATATGCCATGTGTAGTTCAATCTTCTGTTCTGCTGATATTGACTGCTGGAGAGTAAAATAATTGAATACAATCTTAATTAGGATAATTCATATGGCATGCGCTGTTTAATCTTGCGTTCTACTGTCATTGATTTCTAGAGAGTAAAATAGTTGAATAAGGCCTTCCTTAGAGTGATTCACTTGTAATGTGACCCTCTAGAACAATGTTTTTAGCTATTTTTTTGGTTAGACATGCGCAAAAAAGAATAGATCTATTGTGATTGCTATGTATCTTTTTTATGTAGACCTTCATCATGAGACGTTTCGTTATATTTCTGGTGCAATGAGAACCATATATGTGTATAGAAAGTCGCCGATTAGGATGATTCGTTTATAAAGTGATATTCGATAGCATGATTCGGAGACGTACTTCGCAGCGAAATGTTCGATTTATTTGAATAAAGCTATTTTTAGAATGATTCATCGACTGTGTGACCCAGCACTACCTGAGGAATTTTCATATTGCATTCTCGATGAGTTATACAGTTGAAGAAAGCCATTCTTGAAACTAGTCGCTTGTGGCTTATTCATTATTCGATGGATACATGATGTACCTGGGTTTGTTCCAAGCAAGTTTTTTGAATAGAGGTTTTATCAAAAATGTTCGCCTAGTATATGAGCTATTCTTTTTAAGTAACCTACAACAATTGCTTGCAAATGATTGATATACTTGAATAGAGTTGTACTTAGGTTTATTCATTGTTGCGATGATTTGTTTCCTTATAATAACGACAGAAGTTTTGCCCCACGGTTAATGATATATATGAGACGATAGATTTTTGCTGGTGTTCGTTTATCATCTAATTGGTAATTAGATCACACGGTTTAGCTTTGATTCAAAGTATTGACTATGAATTGAACAGGATACTTGTCAAGAACATTCAGCTCCTGGGTGATTTGCAACTGCATAATGCATGAAATGGCTTACTGCAAAATAGGTATTAAATTTGAACATAAATGTTGCTGTGACTATTCATACAATCTGCGATCAATGATGTGATGTTGTGTTAAAGATTGATCAATCAATTTACACCGAATGTGAACACATTTTGTATAGACATGATACTGTTAAAAACTGTTCGACACGTTGGCCAAGTGACTTCGAACATTACATGCTCTCGTTTAATTTCTTCATATACATTTACAGAACTCTTTGTCTTCATAAACTTTTGATGTTATATGAATGCATACTAACCTTGAAGGGCATTTGTATTGTTTGTACTTTTGAAAAGGCTTTTCAGCATTTGAAAACCTTATTTAACACAAACTCCAATTGAGCTTAGACCACTTTCATATAATGTTAAATATTAATAAGATGAAGTTTTAGTCTGAAATAGCGAATTTACATTAGATTACTAACCAATGGTGAAGAACTTATTAGTAGCTAGTCTCCTAGTTCTTAATTGCTTCGTTCATCTGTTATTCTCTTTATTTTATCGTAATAAATATCATGCTTTTTATCTTTTAAGACTCTTATTTTTCACATTAAGCCATTATCTTTCCATGTTTCAACATTCTCAATATATTCTTCATGTGAAAATATGTTAAAGATATGTCAATTTATCGAAGTGATTGTTTTCCAAGCTATTACAGAAGTACAATGCTGTAAAATTTTAACTCTATGTGTGTCTCATCAATCTCATCAAGAGCGGTATGCATTTTGTACCTACGTACAGGAGATCTTATTGTTTCATTTTACCTGGTGAAAAACTAAAAGGGTACGAAAAAAGTTCTGCGACATTTCTATTCTTTTTTAAATATCGTAGCCAAAAAACAAATAGCTTCAAGCTTCTTGTCAAAAGCTGCAGCTCTTGATTTGCGTATGATATTTTAGGCCAGGTTTCAAGTATCTCTCGAATGGACTTGGTGTCAAACTCTTTTCAACTCATCTTACTTAATTTTTAAGTACAAATCGATGTGCTTTATCCATTTGGTTGGATATGGGTGAAGAAGATATGCACACCCACACCCACACCCATCCCACTCTATACACTCACACCCACATAATGCTTAATGACATATTGTATTTGAAAACCAATGTGTAACAATCATCTTTCGAATTAAGTGCGCCAAAGAATGTTTTGGTCTTTGAACTGTACAGATGATTAGTGAATTCGTATTGAGTTGATATAAGTTACTTCATACAAAAGTTTTTCACTAATTTGTAGTATTTAAAAAAAATATGTACTGTTGGGAATATTCCTAAATAGGAGAATTGACCTCTTTTTTTGCTAAAGCTAAACTTCGACTTTTTTGTTATAGCTCAATGGTTGAAAATTCTGCTACTTCAAATTGGTGTAGTGAAGAATTGTCGGACTTCGTAACACTTCAAAAATTCAAATAGAGCTTTCGAAATATTTTGCGCGATGTAACCGATTTGCATCGTCCACAGATGTATTTGGCTTCGTCTTCCAATTATTTCGACTAGAAACTGTTTTCAAGTCAAATTTGACAATTCTCTTTAGTATTTTGGTCAATAAAAGCAGCGTCATTGGCGACATTATTTTCCAATAATATTTGGCAGAAGGTAAAAGACGACACTACCTATGTAACCCAAGAAATAGAAATTCATGAGTCGACTATGCCTTTGCAACTACCTTTTTTTTGTAAACAGAAAACTCAGTCCCTTATATCTTCTAACAATGGAGGTGTTTGTGTCGTAAGTTGAAAAGACCAGATATTTTTGCATCAAAAGAAAGCTCTCACCGCCAAACTAACAAGGTTAAAATATTAGCTACTATTGGCTTGCCTGGAGGGAGATATTCGATTTTTATGGTCCTCCCGGTTAGGGTATATAGGTACATTAGAACTATTTACATTAATTTTTTATGCAATCAACTGAGTATTTCGATAGTAGGCTACAAGAATCTTTCTGAAATTTATCAATAGCAGTAGGATTACATTAGTTTCAGTGTGTTCTGGAACTTCCGTACTATCGAAATGAAAACAAAGGAATATGATATGTTTAAAAAATGACGTGTGTATACAATATTTGAAATTAAAGTGCATTAATGCATCACTTGGTGGTCTATTTGACCGCTTCTTTGCGATTGGTGTTAAGAGATCACAAATCAAATATACTATCGAAGATTTATTCTTTTTCATTCTCTGCCGTATCTACCGAATAAAAACGTTGATCTCGTGAAATAAAACCATGAATTTATTGAACATCGCCAAACATCTTCTTCGTTTGACTCAAACTAAATATGGATCTGAAAATTCTGCAACAACTACCGATGAAATTTTTGTTGCAGAACGATTATTTCAAGTTCTAAAGTCATTTAAAGGTAGCTACTTCAGTGAGCTATATACTTATGATACTCTCGAATTTGAAGATGAATATGATGAAATGACTGATGCAGAAGAGAGCAACGATGATATGACCAATGAAGAAGACACTGACGATGAAATGGATGATTATGATGAGACTGATCATTCTGATTTAAAAAATCGTTTTACATTAGAAGAAATGGAAAATATAATCGAATGGGTTGACGAACATCCGAATGTCAGATTTGCAACTATTTCTAATCGATTTAAAAAGATCAAATTCATGAATTATATTACAAAACTTAGAGAATATATCGAAAACGACGGCACAAGATTAGAAAAATTAAAACAAATTAAAGCATTTATGTTTGACGAATTTTATCTGAAAAGAACCATTGAAAAGGAAGCCCTTCATGGTACTGATCTTGAACTCTATGCAATTCAAAAAGCAAGAGAATTAAATTGGGATACATTCAAGGCAAGTAAATCGTTTATCAATACTTTTAAAAGAGAAAACGGAATATCATTCAGAAGATATAACAAAATTATAACCCGAACCAAATCAAACAAAAAACTTTGCAGTTTAAATGGTATGTAAACTTTTATTTGGTCTTTAATACGTATGTCTTAATGTAATATACATATATATTTTAGATGCTCAAAATTGGACTGAAAATAAAAGAACTTTAATATCAAAGTACTCTTCTCACCAAATTTTAAACAGCGATCACTGTTCATTTCAACAAGAATATGTTCCACCGAGGACCCTTTCTTTTACTGATGAAAGAACAACAGAAGTGACTGTTAAAAAGAAATATAATATAACGCATCCCTATACAGTTCAACCAGTTACATCAGCTAATAGTCATTTATTGGACAAGTTCTTACTCATTCTTCAGGAAAAAGAAAATACATTTGGTACAAGAGTGCAACAAAATTTAATTATACCACCAAATGTTGTAGTCAGAGCTTCATAATCAGGAAAAAGCAGTGATGAAAAACATCATGCTTTTTTAAATGAAGTTCTACGCCCATTGGTTGGTAAAAAATTTCTTCTCTTCCTTGATGCTTGGAAAACTCAAACTGATCTAACAAAATTTAGAGCAGTATTTCCTAATCAAGACAGTCAATTATTGATTTTTCCTGAAGGATCAACCGATTATATTCAACCACAAGGTCTTTCTTTATTGCGTTCATGGCGATTTATTCATGAAAAAATCGAACATTATACTCATATTAATCGAACAGAAATATCTTTAAGTGATCGTCAATATTCCATCAACATGCATTCTGTTATTCACAATCAATTATCCGCTCCACAATTTAAAAATCTCATTAAGAACGGATTTATACAAGCTCGAATAAAAAATGAAACAAATGGACATATTGAAAAACCAAAAGATGTTTACTTCAAATTTTACGATCTATACTGTTCAGCTAATAACTGAAATGAACGAACACTATTAATGTGCGCTTGGTGCAAACAAGCTCTTTGTTACTATCATCTGATTGAAGATCTACATCTGCACTTGTAGTACAGTTGTTAAAATAGTATATTATATAATCTGTTGTTTTTAGCTGAAATAAAATCGAAACTATTGACGAGTTAAAGATTCTGATAACTACTAATTGATCTTTATCTATATGGATACTACTTTAGTCCCAGAAGTCATCGAAACTAACGTAATCCTACTGCTATTGATAAATTTCAGAAAGATTCTTGTAGCCTACTATCGAAATACTCAGTTGATTGCATAAAAAATTAATGTAAATACTCCTAATGTACCTATATACCCTAACCGGGAGGACCATAAAAATCGAATATCTTCCTCCAGGCAAGCCAACCGCAGCTAATATTTTAACCTTGATAGTTTGGCGGTGAGAGCTTTCTTTTGATGCAAAAATATCTGGTCTTTTCAACTTACGACACAAACACCTCCATTGTCAGTGTTCCAATAAGATACGTATCATGTTCTAACAAACGTTTCGCAAGAGAAATACTAGTAAAGAAGTTGTCAGTTACGACGGTTCGATAACATTCATCAAGACCATCCAATAAATTTATTACCACTGTTTGAGGATATCCAAGACCTGCTATGGTATCTTGTTGGCTAGTATAGATCACGAAATTCCAGGTGTATCCATTAGTAGCCGCCAGCTTGTACATCTTTACGCCGTACTTGTGTGCTTTACCAGGAATATATTGTTTGAACAAAAGCCTGCCTCGCCATGGTATCATAGTTTCGTCGATAGTAACAATCTAACCCGGCATATATACTGACGAAAACGTGGCTTTCAATAAATCCAAGATTGGTTTCCATTCACGATATTTGGACTGTATGCTGATCTGATGAGCTTGCAAGTATTGCTCCGCGTATCGATTAGTTTCACGAACCATAAGATCAATAATTTCGTCTGTGATGAAATGCCGATAACAATCGATAGGATTGATCACATTATCCTCCGAAGCAGAAGTTACTTCTTCGACGAGTCCATGATCTTCCATAAATTCCGCATCCGATTCCGATTCTATTTCATTCCAGACGTCTGAATCCACCTTGTCATCAGACATTTCTTCGTCGGAGCTTCCAGATTCAAGGTGCATTCTATCCATATCATCATCCAAAAAACTCAGTTCACTTAGTGAGCTAGCACTCTCTTCTGTATCGGTTTCTTCGAACGACATGTGAACGATTTGGAAAGTTCGACTGCTTTTATACGTAAAAACACAGATACGAGAATAAGTAGGAAAAAACTGGAAATTTCGCTCTGACTTATAATACGTCATGATATGAAGAGGAGAACGGTGAATCATCCGTAGACGATAGTGAAAAGGTTACTACGTGTATTTATTAGAAGTTAACTATTGACAGGAATGGATATTTCGAAGACTTTCCCCAAGAAAACTGAATCGTGGTGAATGTGTTAAATAGCAATATGCGTTAAAATTAAAAAAATAATAATAAGAATATTCTCTATTGCAATACTTGATATTATTCATATCTTTTTTGAAAATCTTTTTTCGTTCGATATCTAGGTCAACTCCAGTCAGAAAATTCTCAAAGTAGTAAAGTATCATCGAAACTTGCAGATACTGATACGTTTCGTCAGCTTGATGATACAATAAATCAGTTGGATGATGTGCTGACTTCTTCTAAGTTGACGATTGATAACTGTGTGAAGCAACAAGAAACAGTTGAAAAGAAAACGATTTCATCTAACTCGCATTCTTCTAGTGGTTAGTATCATACTGTAAAGTTGATTTTTATGATTTTGGTTTTGCATTTTTCTTTATTATGCATATAATTTCATAGCCATGTATGCAAAAAGCTATTCATCAAAATATAATCGACATCAGATAAGTGAAAAATTTAACATTATACAGTTTTCTAGTCTTCCAAATAGTCTTTTTTATTTTTAGAGCATCATGAATTCAATTCCAATGGTTCTAAAAAAGAATTAATACAAAACATTCACGGTGATTTAGTTGAACCTAGTTTCGAAATTCCTTTTTTCTGTGAAATTATTTTATTTCTTTTTGCACTTCTTTGAAAACTTCTGTTTTTTTTAAATAGATCCTGAAACAGCTGATAATTTGCGAGAACGACAAGAAAAAGAAGAGCTAAAACCTTGTATTTTTTGTGATCTAGCTGTTCCTAATAATGGTGATTGTGTGGCTCAAGGGAATTTAACCTTAATTTTTGTTGCAACTTATACTCTAGATTACTTTCTATTATTTATTCGTCTTGTTTTTCTCAAAAGTAACCATTTACAAAATTTTCTCAAAGCTTCAACACGACAAAACATCGTGACTGAAACACTTCTTCAAATGAAACCTTCATTGTGTGCATTAGATTGGAATATGGCACGTTTTCTTTGGGCAAAAATGACCGGTGTTGTTGATCGAGCATTGAATGAGCAGCATCGAAGTGCCACATTATTTAAAAACTTAAAGGTATGTCAATAGACAGCTGTGTCTTTTTCTTTTCTCTAAATTATATTGAAACAACACAAGCTCAATATGTACGAGAGTAAAAATATCAAATTCCTTTCCTTGATATATTCAAAATTAGTTTATTAAAGATAGTACAACTATTAATTAGCAATCTTGTATACCTATTAACAGATATATGTTCACAAAGAATCTTGATTCTACTCGTTTACATACTTCAGTAAGTGTATCTGATAATGTTTTAGAATAAAATGGAAAAAGATCTTTATGAATGGCAACTGGTTGAGAATCGTCGTATTGAAGAAAAGATGGTGGCCAATATTTACGTAAATTGTTTCGGCTCTAAAGATGAATTTTTTGAAAATCATTTGGCTAATCTCATATAAAAGTATAAAGTTGAAACAACCTGCAACAGTACTCAATGTATCATGAAAAGAAAAATATTTCAAAATACATATTTGTCATTCAAGTAAATATTCATTTAATATTTAACGTTCAAATATAATCCTCATTGATTAGATTGTAAATTCACTAGATTCTAAAAATATGTAATTCTGGAAAAACCAGCATCAAATGAAATGATGAGGACTGAACTTGATTAATAATAAGAAACATCCACTCAAGTTCAGTTAAAGTCTCTCTAATATATTCACAGATATTTTTCTTGCTACTTATTTATTGTAGTTAAATTATAGATAAAGTATACCTGAATGAATTCGGTACAGTGTAGCGATCAATAATTCGATTTCAGTTCATCAGTCTCGTTGACTTCTCTTAGGCAATGGTTTAATCGATTTCGCAGCTTTCAGAATCCAAAACTTAGACTGATATTCAAAATATTTTCTTCTCTATTTTATCTTTGGTTTTCAAAACAATGAGTTGACGTCGATAAAAATTGTATTTTTACGATAGTTGAGGAATAAAGTAAAAATCAAAAGATCAAGAGAAAGTTTAGATTCAGTTGTTTTTTTTCTAATAAGATACGTTTCTGAATTCTTAAACGATTGATTTTTTTTAATACTTAGCGTAATTAATGGCCATCTACAGAGTCCAGTTATTGCTCAATAAGATACTCGATATCCAGAAAAGTGTGGTGTTGAATTAGCGAAGTGGTCAACGAATACACAAGTCCCGAAACATGCTGAGCTGAAATACTTGAAGAAAATAAACATCATAGAAGATTATAATCATCTAGATGAATCAGAGTAAGTTTCATTAAAAACAGATTTTGTAAACAAAATCTCTGATTTTGTAGTCTTCATGTTGTGTGTGCTGGTCAACATTCGTCTGGTATTCCAGCGTTTTTAACCAGTACTTATCTACCAATCTTGATGATTTCTACTATCGATGCAGTCATTACAACTTCGAATGTTCCACATAATATTTATGTGAAACAAGAAAAGTAAGCATGATTTAATAGAATCATTACAAAAATTATAGATATAAAATCTAACTGCATTATTTAGGCATATATTACTCGGCACAACCAGTGATAAACCTGGTCACTTCATAGGCATGGTGTCATGCATCGATCACAAACAGAACAATATGATTGACGATGTTTTCAGAAACAACAACGGCACACATATATTATCAAAAGCATTTTATATTAAATCATGATAAACTACAGGGTGTCTCAAAAAGCGTGTCCACTTAAGAATTATGTATAACTTCCTTATTAATCCAGTGTAATCCAATCATTTTTTTTTATTGGAAAGAGAAGAGCAGTAAGTTTTTTTTCATAAAGACAAAGTTCATAAATATTCTTGAAAAGTAATTCATTTGACTTCGATACAAAAAATTGACATGTTTTACAATTAAAAAGAATCATGGAGCATTTTATTTTTATTATATCGATTTGTAGAATTATTCTAGTTTTTAAGTCATAGAGGTTTTTTACGATTATATTGTAGACATTTGGTTCGAGACGGGCTCATAGATAGAAGCTCAATGATGTAAAGTTTAATGAAGGAGGAGCCCATGATATTGGTTCACTTTTTACGACCTACTGTCAATGATTGAACACTAACTCAAAAGAATTATTTTGCAATGCTTCGGAGTTTCTCTTGTCTGATTTTACAGAAGAAACGGTTAAGTAACCCATCATTTCTCAGCAAGATAGACCATTAGCCCATTTCTCCAAAGCGGTTCGTGTGCGGATGAATGAAATCTTCTGTGGCAGGAAAGTCAAAAAATATAGACCAACATCATGAAACTCTCGATCGCTAAACTTCACACGATTGGACTTGTATTTATGAGTCCGCCTCAAACCAAATGTCTACAATATAATCGTAAAAAACCTCTATGACTTAAAAACTAGAATAATTCTACAAATCGATATAATAAAAATAAAATGCTCTATGATTCTTTTTAATTGTAAAACATGTTAATTTTTTGTATCGAAGTCAAATGGATTACTTTTCAAGGATATTTATGAACTTTGTCTTTATGAAAAAAAAACTTACTGCTCTTCTCTTTCCAATAAAAAAAAATTATTGGATTAAACTGGATTAATAAGGAAGTTATACGTAATTCTTAAGTGGACACGATTTATGGGACACCCTGTATGTGTGATTGTTCATATTTTTTTCCTTTTTATCCCTCATATTTTTCTTATATCGTTCATATAAGCCCCATATACATTTTGTTGAATGGTTTAATATGATTTTTATTTTTTGTGAAAACCTTGTTTTTTTCTTTCCTGTGGACTTGGATAATTCTAATAAAATATTTCTTGCAATAGAACATTAAATCTGTTAACACA